CCTCCCCCAGCTCTCTCTCCCCCCTCCCCCAGCTCTCTCTCCCCCTCCCCCAGCTCTCTCTCCCCCTCCCCCAGCTCTCTCTCCCCCTCCCCCAGCTCTCTCTCCCCCTCCCCCCAGCTCTCTCTCCCCCTCCCCCAGCTCTCTCTCCCCCTCCCCCAGCTCTCTCTCCCCCTCCCCCAGCTCTCTCTCCCCCTCCCCCATTATTCCCTCGGAAAAGCGATCTGCCAATTGACGAATGACCGGGTTCCTACTCTACTGCTAGGTAAACAGAGGCTTTTAAAATATATTGTTAAGTGGAATGACTGTGTATTTTGTGGGTGAAAAAGTATGCATCTTTGACTGTGCCTTCAATTAACAACTTTAAATCTCCCTTTACCCCGCTATCTGCTCCCTGCTATGTGTGTGAAACATTTTGAGACGTTACTTTATATGAAGGTTAGAATGCAAGTTATTATTAATAACTTATTCATGATTCATTACAATTAATTGTTTTATTTGTCATATTCATTATTGTTACAGATATTGTTACCTCCACTCAACCTCCCTGAGTTGTCTCTCAAACTCAGTGAACTAGTGTACAAACTTAGTTTGTGATGTTCAGTTCAATCCTCGGCTCTCCTTCCTTCCCTCATATGCTCCCTCACCAATACAACGTTTCATCACCTTTGCCACATTGCTCACCTCCACCCCTATCTCACACCAAATACCTCACCCACACCTTTGTGACCTTTTTTGCCAATCTCCTCACTTATCCATAAGCTCCAACTGATCCAACGCTCCACTGCCCACATCTTCATCTGCAATATACTCCACATGTCCCTCACCCAGTCCTTGTCAGGCTCCACTGTCTCCCTGCCTCCCAACAGATCCTTTCCATTTCCTTTGCTCAGCAAACAATGATCTGCTTCATGTTCCCCATTCTACAACTCCCTCCACCTGCAGCGGAGGGGCTTTCATCCATTCTGACCCTGTTCTGGAACTCTATCCTGGAGTCCCTTTGACATGCTGCCTCCCTCTCTTGGTTAAGGCTAGTCTCAAAATGTACAATTATCTTTCCCCTCGCCACCCCCTTTCAGCTCCCACTCACAGCTCGGGTACCCAGCTGACATTATCAAGAGATTTGAGATGTCCTCTCAACGTGAAAGATGCTATATAAGTGGAAATTGTATTGTATTATACCCCTCCTTCCTCCCACAGGGATAAAACAACAACAACTTTCATTCGTACACTTTCATTAAGCACCCTGGGACGCTACCCAGCATGGGCAGTGCTATATAAATGCAAGTTGTTGTTATTCATATATTGGAGGATTGAACATGCTTGAACAGGTAAACAGAGACTCTGCTTCCATCGACTTCTCAACATCTGTAACTGAAATTCTTCTGCACAGACTGCAAGAATGGGGTATCATCTACAATTTTTAATATTCTTCTACTATTTCCACCCTATATATTGTATGTGTTAGGAGAACAACAGCAGTCTAGGGCAGACCCGGGGCATGATAGAAGCTATATGAAGCCAATTCACAAAGTATTGATATACTGTCCAATGTACCATTCCATCAATGTAACAAAATCAAATCTAGTGACTATCCACCTGGAGGTGGGGGAGGTAAGTGGGGTCTCCTTAGAGCTGAGGTGGCTTGCAACTGAATAATGCAATTGGGTCAATCCTGTGTGGCAGTCTCAGTGGTCCCAGTTTCTGAGTCAGGTGGGCCTGCTGTACTTCCAGGCACCTTAGCACTTGCTAACCTGCGCCCAATACTCGCTGGAGTGAGATAAGCAGGGCCCCTCTGGGGGAGTGTGCATTCCATTCCAGACACACTGAGAGTTCAGGTGTATGTGACATACTTATGTGGAATTCTTCATCTGGTTTGGATACTCCTAAACATGGGTGATGGTTTCTGCAAGTGCTGGATGTCTGACTGATCCAAAAACAAACATATCAATGTCCCAGTATAGCAATATTACCAATGTGACAACAAGGCTGGGTGTTACCAGAGAATATCAGTTCCTGGTACAGTCAAGAAATAGTCTGCTCTGAAGGCTCACAAAGCATCCTCCTACCAATGGGGAAAATTGACATTACACTCTATCTGCTGCAGTACAATTGCATTGACTTCATATTTACTTTTATTACACAGGTTAATAACTGAGTGTGCACCAATCAGCACAGCCCATCAGCAACGAGATATCACTGACTCAGCAACTATAGGATTGCAAAAATCTCTGCCAGAGCAAATACGTTGTTCTCCAGTGACTTGTTTGGTAAAGTCATTGCCTGGTGTGAATCTGTTTCAAGGTCAATATGCAATCTGTGATTAGTTATGGAATCTCAGCAGGGATGGCAGTAGGGACGCTGCAAATGACTCAGTACCACTGGGCTATAGGGGAAAAACAATCAGCCGGGTGCCTGCTCCCAATTGCTAACAAGGGAACTTTGCTGGAAAGCATACAAGGGTGGATATGGATAGAGACTGAGTTCAGCTGTTCTGTCACCCATGTTACATTCCTGTGCCTGACACTTACCGGGTGGGCTCATACATGAAGAATGATCAGTTGGGAGAGGCAGTGAAGTGTACCTGGTACCCCTGGAACTGTACTGAGTCATTGGGAGACTCAGGAGAATTAAGACAAAATTTGGACTGAACATTTTTATAAAAGATAATGGATCTGTCGTCTAAATAACTACCTCAGCAACAGGATCCTTTTAAAAACTAGAATTTTACAAAAAGGTGCAGCTGCCAACACAATTGCAGAATCATATTTAGTATGAATGACAGTGGCAGAACAAGCTTATGTGTGGTTAGTTGTTCATAAAACCTCAGTGGCACTCTATCTAAATATTATCTACTGGGTCTGGGGTATTCCAGTTGACCGAAGGATAATAATCCTTACATTTCCCTATGTATTATATCTTGTTGGTACCATTGTGTGTCACACATTGTGTGGCTCAGTTGGTAACATGCTTGCCTCTGGAATCAGGAGGTTGTGGGATCCAGCCACACATCAGAACTTGGAATTCATACAGTCCAGGCTGACACTCCAACACATTGCTGGGGTTGCGTTGTATTGTTGGTGGTGCCGTCCTTCGGAAGATATGTTAAACTGATTCAGGTGGATATTTAAGATGCCACGGCACTGTTCAAAAAGAGAAGGAAGTTTCTCCCCACCTCCCGGGAAAAATTGGTTATTTACTCCATGGATATTTGTGGCACATTGCAGTGTGCAAATTGACTGCTCACAAATATACAGTCACTCCACTTTCCGGTATATCCAGTGATTTCCTCCTGACGTGCAAGGTGTTACATCATATGTAAATGTAAGAATCATTATTATTTATTCTCTTGGTGTCTCTGGAATAACTCTCTGGGAGAGGTCATAAAGCAGTTTCACCAGTAGATGGCAGTGCAGGCTCAGCAAAGCTGTACATCCTTTGCTTTCCACAGATTGGAACAATACATGTGAAACAGCATCTTTTCATGTCAAATACTCATTGAGCTTTGAAAAGCCAAGTCTTCCTATGTAGTCAAGTGTGGCAACAGTGTGCCTCAAATAGCAATAAGGTGAGCGACCAATTAATCTACATTTTGTTTGGGGTACATTTCCAGAAGGCAAAAAATATTAATTGGGTGAACTCCAGTAGCAAGGCATGATTAAAACCAGATCAAACTGTGGTTTAATGTTTTCTTGTGTGGTTGCAGTAACTTCCTCACTACAACCTACTGAGGCAGTTTAAATAAATACAAAAATAAACTCCCAAATCTCTGAAAATTCAACATTAATGCACAAAGACATTTCCAAAATTGGCATACTACTAACAATAATTACAATTAGATTGTCCTTCGCTCATTTCAGAGTTCCGTATTTTTCTTTTAATCTTCTCCAATTCTTTTTGCCCCAGGTTCCCTGGTAACATATAATATAACTCAACTGAAAGGAGAGGTTCCTAGGACTCTGTCAAAGATTGCTGTATACGAAACGGGGACAGGCATGGCCTCCTTGGCTTGCATGGCCACCAATGTTCCTTTACTTTCTATGTGAGGGTCGTCACAGAAGACAGACACATATTGAGAGCAGTCACAGAGCATAGCAAAATATTGAGAGAAGGGGAAGAAGGCAAATGATACAATCAACGAGATAGATCTTTAGATGGGTTTTGCCTTCAAAACCCTCCACAGCCTTTCTGCTTCCTACCTCTGTGACCTGCTAACTCCACATAGATCTGTCCGCTCCTTCCACTCTGGCCTGCTCCATGTCCCCTGCTTGGCCCGACTTGCCCTACCATCAAGCCCATTTCTTCCACAGTAAAGTACATTTCCCATTTGCCTTTTCAGGTGGATGTTGAAGATCCCATGGCATTATTTGAAACAGAAGAGAGTTTCTCCCAGTGTCCTGGCCAACAATTCCCCCTAATAAAATTAGTCATTCACTTCATGGTTGATTTTTGGGTTATTGCTGTGTGCACCTGGCAGCTGTGTTTACCCCACAAAACATACAGTGAAAAAATACTTTACAGTATATCCTGTGAAGCACTTTGGAACTCTCAATGACTTGATAAGGCACTATATCAAATGCAACAAAACCTGATTAAATGTTCTGCTAATGTTTCTCCTTAACTAAAGAGGTAAATGTAGCCTAATTTGAGACTATTCACGCAATAATCTACATATATTTAACTACCTGTCTTTATTGATATAACATCTGCTAAATGGGAGCATTTGATACAGCATTTCATCATCTCTGCCGGTATCTATCCCCAGTGCCTCTAGACAGATGCCGATTCAAATGCAGGGATCAGACACTTGCAAAGAGAAAGAATGCTTAGAATCATGCAGATAAAAAGGGGCATCTTCTTAAACATACAGAGCTAAATTGCGTTTAAATACATACAGTAAAATTGAATGCTTCCTGCACGCATTCTATTAGTTAAAGCTCATTCTCTTCAGTGTGCCGGTATTTAATTGCACCTGTGTCATTTTCCCATTCATTAGTACTTACTCAAATGGATCACTGGGGTCAGGCCTTTCGAGCTCTGGCGGTATTGGAATACGCTTGTAGTACATCTCCCAGTCAAAGGCTCCCCTCATGGCATCTCCAGCCTGCGTCTCATAGCCAAAGTGATTGTGGTCAATGACATCGATCATAGGACACACAATTGTCTTGTGGTTTTGTGCGATCTGGTCTGAAAGATGAAAGGACGTCAGGAGAAAAGCACAGTTAACCAGCTCATCCATCACACTAGCCTCAAACACTTCACTCCATCCCAGAGGGCCTCCAGCATTGTTTGCCTTCAGTCCCTACAACCCCAGGTTTCTCACACTTTCAAAAAACATAGACTGCAATCTGAAATCAGACTTGATGCAGCTGGACAGTGATTAGAGGCAATTACATTGCTTTTAAAGTAGGTCTTCTCCAGTGAGACTAAGGAAACCTCAGCTATCTACATCTCTGTCACTCAGGCTTGTTAAATTGTGCCAAATCTGTCACAAATAAAGTCTGCTGATTGCTTGTAAGACATCACAATACTCTTAGGGTGAGAGGAAAGACTTTACTGCCAGGTCTTTGTTCTACTTTTTAGCTGGGTTTAAAACTGTATTTCTGCGCTAAGAAAAAATATCTTGGGTTACAATATATAGTTTGGGACATGACATATGCATGCGACTGCCTGGAGGGTGGAAGGTGAACTGGATGGACCTTGATCTTTTTTGTCTAGCAAATTCTTATGTTCTTATTTTTCTTTGTTGAGTGTTGCCAGAGGTGATTTCTGCTGAAGCGCAAAGGGCACAGTTTGAGACGATATTTTCAGGCTTGCGTCGCATTGTGCTTTGGGCATCTCGACACAGAAAAGATATAATCATTGGAGAGAATACAATATAGATTCACAAGGATGGTAGAAGGAAATGGGTTAGTGGTGGTGGGGGTTAGTGATAAAGAAGGTGGCTCGGGAATGTATTTGGAGCTAAGGATATTGATTTGATTGAGCATTGGGCCAAAAGTAATGACTGGTTTGCTGTTCTTGCCCTTTTCTCTCCTCCCACTTCTCTCCCCTCCCCACCCCCCAACCCCACCCCGCACCACAGATTTAGAACTCACTATATGGGAAATCAAACAACATACAGTACAATGTAACACTAGGAAAGTGCAAACATGAAACCCACAATGTTAATTCTGGAGTAATGTGGATTACTTAATGAAATAATAACCATTTGCATTTGATATAGTGCCTTTCATGTTGTCTCAAAGTGCTTCACAGAATTTAATATGCATTATAGTGACTATTTGTAGATGAAAATTTTTGCACAGCAATGCCCCATGAAGTGAATGATCAATTTTATCTGGGGGTCTGTTGGCCAGGACATTGGAAGAAACTCTCTTCTCTTTTCAAATAGTGCCAACGAATCTTTAATGTCCACCTGAACAGGCAGATGGACTTTGGTTTAACATCTTATCTGAAGGGCAGCACCTCCAACAATGCAGTGCATCCCATGTACTGCATTAAAATGCCAGCCTAGACAATGCGAGTTCAAAATCCCGACATGGGGCTTGAAACCACAATCTTTTGACTCAGAGGCAAGAGTGCTACTAAGCGAGCCAGATTAACTTCTGAATCCATATGAGCCATAAAACATTTTACAGCACACAGAACAAGGATATTTGGCTTATTGTCTAAAAAGTTTCCTGCTGCTTGCCAGACATTGGGCTAAGTGGCTTCCTTCTGTGTTGTAAATTTCTAAATTGGTCCACTGTGCCTCTGCTGGCTGTAATAAAGACCTATCTGTTCAGTCTCATTCTCCTACCTTTTCCCCAAATCCTTTCATATTTCTCCTTTTCATATATTGAACTAATTTCTTCCAAAAAGCTAATATGAATTCGGCCTATTCCACTTGTACGCAGAGTATTTCACATTCTAACAACCCACTATGTAAAAGATACATGTGGAAGCCCATCAGCATGCTTAAGAGTAGTTAAACCAGACTTTGCACACATATATGCCGCCTACACATGGACATTTCCTATACCTGGAATGGAATGCCCACTCTCTCTGGAGAGACCCAGCTGTATGGCAGCTCATAGTTTGCCATTCAGAGCATTGTCTGGCAATCTTCCAGATTGGACTGTCCTATCCATATGAATGAGAGAAACTGAGTGGGAAGAATCCCTGTTCCAAGTATACCCCCCCAAATCTTACTGATGAGCCAGGCAAAACTTGCTGATGAGCTAGTTTATCACCAGCAGTGCCTGGAGTACTATGGACCCATTTTGCTTAGAAGCTGGACTACCAAAACCGCCACAGACTCAATTCAAACATTCTGTTGCCAAACATGGCATCTTGGAACTAGTTCAGTTCAATGGGCAAGATTTTATTTGTGCTTGTTTATCTCAGTGCCAAATACTGTACCATCAACTGACGGCAAGAAGTGGATGTTTGTTGTGCTGGAATGCTATCCATCAGATATATGTTCAGTCCTCATTCTCTGCAGAATTTGTATCACTATGTCTGTGATTTATGAACACAGGGAAAGACGTAAGCCACCTGGCCCATCAAGCCTGCTTTGCTGCTTTCTTAAATCTTGGCTGATCCATAACTCAATAACATTTCCTGCCTTTTCTAGATGTTAACCATACAGCAGGTTCAGGTGAGTTTGTATGACCTCAGTGTCTTCTGGAATATCCCAAAAGAAACAATGGTTCAGATTTCTCAATTTATACAGTGAATTATTTCACCGACATGGTTTGGCCTATGAGTGGAGATTGGAGGAACTGGGACATTTTCTGCTAGAACAAAGAAATTTGAGGAGTGACCTGATACACGTCTTTAAAATTATGAGGGGCGTTGATAGTCAATCAGAAGAAATTAATTCACTGATCAGTGAGTCAGTACCTAGAGGACATCAGTTTAAGATAGCTAGTAAATGATAAAATAGAGAGGCTCAGAGAGAAATGTTTTCACACACAGATTAGTTAGGATGTGGAATTCATTAGATAAGTTAGAATGTGAAGGCTTACGGCCACCAACTCCCCCCTCCCCCCCCCGCCCCCGGCTCGGAGTCAGGATCACTGTTAAGCTCTCTGAGAGGCTACCCTGTGTGGAGGGCGCTATATAAGTGCAAGTCGTTGTTGTTGTTGAATGCCCAGCCGGGAGAATGTTTGAGTGAGAATCCACATTGAGCTTTAAAAGAGAATAAAATAGATACCTAAAAAAGAGAATAAGACCTTAAATATAAGACCTTGGATACCTTAAAAAGAGTCACCTACATGAGTATGGGGAAAGGGCAGGTAAATGGATTGCTCTTCAGGAGTAGGCACAGACATGATGATGCAAATAGCCTTCTTCTGTGCTGCAAATTTCTATGATTTTATTTTATGCTACTCCTGCACAGTGGTAGTGAAGTTCCCAATCAATATCAGTACCAGAGAGTCTAAAAAAACCTATGACCTGGTGTTGGCAAAGTGAGTGCCTTGACAAGTTCAACTGGACTGATTTTACATTGCTATCATCTGAACACTTTAATCTGCTACAAAGAATAACATTCATAGGAAATCAGTTATCATCAATGAATGAATCTAAGCAGAGACTTACCAAGGAGCGGTGGTAACCAGTTGACATTGGCCTCGCAGTGAGAATCCAGGAATGTTAAGACTTCTCCTTTTGCTACTGAAGCTCCCAATAACCTGGTTCGGATTAGACCTTCTCTTTTCCTGGTACGCATGATTCTCACCTTCGGAAATCTAGCCATGTGTTCTTCTAAACGTTCTTTCAAGTGTTCTGGAAAAACACAATTCAAGAGAGAAGCTTATAAATTGCAGGGGAGGCTTTGTTTTTTTCCATATGAGATTCTTCAGTTATTTTCAGTTGATGGAACTCAATTGGTTTGTTCAAAAGATTAACAAATAATTGAATCCTTTCAGATTTGGACAGTCTCTTTAGAAGGACAATCTCCCAGCAATAATGAAACTGGTAATAGATTATTGTTTATCAGCAGTTCTTTTTCCATTACTTTCCATTACTGCTGATAAACAGTGGTTAGACGGTGCACTGGAGGTTGGATCTTCTTTGAAATAGACTACAAACTCAAATTGAATGTAGCTATGCATCTGAATGGTGAGTCCTGACTAGTGGTGGTAGACTTCAGAATGAATTATCCCCATCTGATAGCTAATCTACTCTCCTCAAGTACTAAACCACATGCCAATGGTGCTCTAGGCAGCTGTTAGGTTTCAAAGTCTCTAAAGACATAGACTTGCGGTTAATTGATCTTAAAACCTACGCTACGTTTGTCCCTAAATGCCATGTGCTTGCCCTGCCCACTAACATAACATAAGATAGCATGGGACAAGACTAGACCATTTATGTTATTAAGCCCCCTCTTTCCGCAATCCATGAAAAAAAACTATCGTATTCTGAACGTCATCTAACCCACGTTCTCTTTCAAACATAATCCTCATAATCAATAATCAATGGAGACTTGTCGATTTTAAAACTATTAATGTAGCCACTGATTTTTTTTGTCACAAATCTGACCCCTGTAAGAATCCATTACCATGTGTCCAAAGTATCCAAACAAAGCTGAGAGTTCCACATAAGTAGGCCAACTCCACATGGATATTTTCTGGAATGAAATGAACACTCTCACTCTGGAGGATGCACCTTGCTTACCTCAATCCTTAGAGTATTAGGCAAAAGTTGGCAAGAGCCAAGCCTTGGGACTCCAAAATGTTCAATTGCATGTGTTACGATTGAGAGCACTATCTGGCACTCAATTGTAGTCTAAATTTGGAAGCTGTTATTTTAACAGTTCTTTGGCTTCAAAGAAGACACAAAAGTGCAAAACTGGATAAGTGCCCCCCAGCCCTTCTCTTCTAAAACCTCTCCACCTCACTCCCTCCCTCTCTGCTTTCAAAAGCCATCTAAAAAACTATCTCTTTCACTGTGGCTTCAGCCACCAATTCCATCGCTTGGGCTCCCATTTCATCTCTGTAACATGTTTCAGGACAATGTCCTCTTTTGTGAAAGGTGTTACATACGTGAACTTCATTGTCCCACCCCACCTTGGGCCGCATCACCCCTCAGATCCCACCCCCAGCTCGGGTGCAAACTCTTGGACACTCCTAGCAGCTTGGAACATCCTTCCGGTGTGAAAGGCACTACATAAATGTAAATTTGTTGTTGTTGAATACAGAATACCCTTTGGTCAGAATTTTGCAGGACAATAAAAGGTAAATCATTCTGTTGAATGTACACCTACTCCATGCAGCTATCTCAACGCTTGAAGGGTTAGAATGAATTTGTGGCAAGGTTATTTGTAGTGAGACAAAAAGAAAACAAAGCTGGAATTCAGGACAGTGGAAGTCACTGATGAAGATGAACCTTAATGATCAGTGGTGGATGTGTTTCCTTAACCCAGCTTTGCTAGTCAGCTTCAGCTAATGGAACAGTCAAAGCCACTTAACATGATAAATTGTGGGGAAAGCAATGTTTACAACACGTTACAGTGGCTTCTACAGATCTTTCCGCTGTTTGTTATCACTGCTGCATTTTAAATAAAGGCAGCTTTGTAAATTCCACCACAACTAATGAACGAGGGCACTCAGATGTGAAAGTCAAGACCTCTGTCATAGAAAGCTGCAGAACACGCCGAATTGTTAATTTAAAAACAAAATCTATCATTGTTTCTTTCTCGCTGTTGATGAAATAAGGTAATAAATCATATGCATGATACACGCCAAAACACCACCCAGTCATCTGGCAGCACAGGAATCAGACTCCAAAGTGACAAATAAATAGTAATTGAGAAACAGGTGTTTTATAACCTTGTCAACAGACTGACAACACATGATGAAGGGCAGTAATAAGTAAAACTCTGGTGATGCTTAATAAACAAAAGTCTCCAATACAATTATTTTTCAGACAGCACTACTTTATCCTAATTTGATAGCCTCGATGTCCCATAAACACATTCATTTAAGTTTTAAAGAAAAAAAATTAAAAGAGTTCACGCAGTGAAAATTGCACTTGCGACTCAATTCCTTTTTAAGACGTGGCAATTTTTTTATATGTAGTATTTGTGTATCACAGCAACTTCAGTTCTACTAGAGTCTTGGTTGGAGTCAGATAAGATTGCATGATAAATATCAGTGTATACTGTCAATCCTATAGAGTCAGCAATGCATTGCTACAACTATAGAATCAGTGTATTACTGATTCTATAGCAATTCTATTGTGGTGTCCTGTAGCTCAGTAGTTAGAGTACTCGCCTTGCAAGTGAGAGACCTGGGTTTGATTCCCGGCAGGGCGAAACGTTAGGCAAGTTTCCTTGCTCCACACGCCTCTGGTTTACCTAGCAGTAAGTAGAAACCTGACTGTTAGTCAATTGGCAGATCGCTTTTCCAGGGCTAATAATTCCTTCAAAAAAATAATAATAATCCTTGCATTTGATGTAGCACTTTTCACGTCTTCTAGACGTCGCAAAGCGCTTCACAGAATATACTGTAAAGTGAATTGACTGCATATTTTTGGCCGAAAAGTGGCAACCAATTGCACACAGCAGTGTCCCACAAACAGTCGTGATTTAAGTGACCAAATTGTTATTTTTTTTAAGAATTATTTTCATTAAATAATAATCCCTCCAAAACAAAACAATAATAAATTGGTCATTTTCAATCCATGACTGTTTGTGGGACACTGCTGTGCGCAATTGGCTGCTGCGTTTCGCCCACAAATATACAGTCAATTCACTTTACAGTCTATTCTGTGAAGTGTTTTGAGATGTCGAGAAGATGTGAAAAGCGCTATATCAAATGCAAGGATTATTGTTATTTTTTTAATTAAATTTCACACTCCACTTCTCTAGCCACAACAGAATTAATTTTCCTTTCTGTGTCAGTTATTCATGGGGGTGAAAAATATGACTTGATATATAATTATACTATTACATCATGTGTTGTTTTTTTCGCCTCATTGTGCCAATATGGTTTTACACCCATTTCAGTGCTAAGCAGAATACAGTGCTGTACCGTCAGGAATTGGAGTACTTTCAGCAGTATTAGCACTACTTTAATGCAGGATTAGGAGCTCATGAAACAAAATCACCAATTTAGTCAATTATTAAGGTCGGATCCAATTAACTTAAGTAACTCTGCATAATCCAATATTTCACAACCTTTGTGCAATTAGTATTATATGACACAGTTGGAGCAGGTTTTACAACTGCCAACATACTTAAACTGATGCATCTTGTGTCATAATCTTAATACCCATCAGAATTTGCAATAAATATGATTTTAAACATTCCTGATGAATTACACAATGGCACAGTGCAGCAACACAGAACTGTGCATTTTCTGCAAGATTGCTGCCTCGGTGAATATGTGCGTCAAATCTATTCCATCCAGCGATAGCAGATGATTGCTTTGAACAGACTCTTTTGAAAAGCATACAAGTGGCACGTCCTAAATTTCACGTTGCCTTGCTTGCCTTTTAAATTCAGGTTTGTGCAGAATTGTGAAAAAATCTTAAATTATCTGAATTTGGAAGCATAGAGTTTTAAGATTTTCCCGCAATTATGAATTTTAAAACAAGATGTCTTCCAGGCTATGACGACGTGGGTCTGTAACTTTTTGTGGATATTTATTTTCATTTATAGCAATATTTATTTTTCCACTAATAATAATCCTTGCGTTTTATATAGTACCTTTCTTTCATGGTGAGAGGACGTCTCAAAGTACTTAAGATTTACTGTCGCCCGCATTCTCACTCGCACAAAACTCCACTCCCCGATCACCCCAATCCTTGCCAGACTACACTGGCTGCCTGTCCCAGAGAGGATCGATTTCAAGATCCTCACCCTTGTATTCAAGTCCCTGCACTCCTCTGCACCCCCCTACCTCTTTGACCTCCTCTCTTCTCAAAAGAGAACCCGTTGCCTTCGTTCCTCCGGATCTGGCCTCCTCCTCGTCCCTAGAGTCCTCTGCTCCACCCTCAACAGCCGTGCCTTCAGCCACTATGGCCCGAGGCTCTGGAACTGCCTTTCTCATTCCCTTCGTCTCGCTCCCTCTCTTCCCATTTTCAAGTCTCTGCTGAAGACCTTTCTTTTCGACCGCGTCTTTGGTCACCTTNCTCCCCCTAGCTCGGTCCCAGGATCCGCTACTGTAAAGCGCTCTGAGACGCCGTCCGGCGTGGAGGGCGCTATATAAATCCAAGTTGTTGTTGTTGTAGTTGTTGTACAGTGACTGACTTCTCATAGATGGAGGCAGCAGCCAATGTGTGCACATCAGTGTCCTACAAACACCCGTGAGGTGAATGAACAATTTTATCTGGAATTATGACTTCCGTCTTGTCAACATTCAGCTGCAGAAAGTTGGTCCTCATCCAAGCCTTGATATCTGACAAGTCACCCCAAGTTAGTCGATCAGATAGGGCAAGTAGAGGAGTGGAATAGGAGGAGATCATAGAGATAGGAAGGTGCTAAGTCATTGAGGTATTTGTGAATGATTATGAAGACCTTGAAGTCACCCCACTAAGATACAGGGAGTCAGAGGACTATTTTAAACTATGCTTGAAATTTAGAATGGGCCCTCTATATCAACATCATCTACAATGCACACAGTGAAATTCCTCATTCATTGTACAGAACTATGTTTTGCTAAAGTAGATAAATTCACAAGCTTTTGAAATAACTGAGGTTCTTAATTAATTCTAATGAGATGGGGCCACAGTTGACAATCGACTGTAATGACGATTTGTTATTATCCCTGTAGCTATTATTG